AGACGGAGTTTCACTCTTGTTACCCAGGCTGGAGTGCAATGGCACGATCTCGGCTCACCGCAACCTCCGCCTCCTGGGTTCAGGCAATTCTCCTGCCTCAGCCTCCTGAGTAGCTGGGATTACAGGCACGCGCCACCATGCCCAGCTAATTTTTTGTATTTTTAGTAGAGACGGGGTTTCACCATGTTGACCAGGATGGTCTCGATCTCTTGACCTCGTGATCCACCCGCCTCGGCCTCCCAAAGTGCTGGGATTACAGGCTTGAGCCACCGCGCCCGGCCTGTTGTTTTGTTTTTAAACCAACCACAGTTTGCCTTTGTTTGGGTGAAGTGTAGCCCAGTTTAGGGCTAGGCCGAACAATTTTCTTGAGATCCCTGAGAAGACAAAGGAGATGTTCTGTTGATATTTGACAGGTAAGCTTTACCTACACTATGTGTCGGAACTAGACAAACACCGATGTGCATTTGATTTTTTTTCTTAGAAGAAAACCGAACTATTAATTACACTAAAGCCTTCAGGGAAGTATTTCACTGGACTATTTGCCTCAGGACCTATATTTTTATTGTCTGTCCATTAATTGTGAACAGATTATTTAAAAGGGATGTATATTAATAAATAGTAAGGGTGGAAACTAAAAACTAAACCAGGGCAAAGGTTCCATTGTACGTGTCTCAACTCAGAGGGGACTCCTAGCAGGCAATGAAATGGGGCTGTTTTACAAAGCAAAGGAAGGAATGAGGTCAGGTGCAGGAATACGCAGGGGCCTGGTGTTTTGAATCTGTTTGATTAAAAGGCAAGTTTGTGTAGAGAATTAGAGAAACAAATCATAGAACAGACACCTTGAGATGTAAGGCCCTTCGCAAACAAAAGACATGTGTTGCATCTCATTAAAACGGGTTTTCTTTTATTGTCACTGATGGACTCAGACGTCCTAATTTTCCCTCAAAAGTAAATGGCCTATTTTCAAAATAGGCAGAGGGTCCGCGCTCCTTATATCTGTTCTTAATTCAAGAAATACATCTAACTGTAGTCTAACAAGAGTCAGTCTCAAAAGAAATTAATAAGGAACATCCATTAATTATTTATGCTCTGAAACAGTAGGTCTGCTAATGTTTCTGCTAATCACCAAAGCTAAACAGATGTATCTTCATAAAGACAATCTTGAAGAATAGAATGAGTATAAAGGAGACGCAAATACAAAAAATATGTATATGTATGGCGATGACAGGAAAAATACTGAATGTCTCGCTGCTCCTAAGACAATATTTGTTTAAAGTGCAAAACCTAGTAAAATTGTCAGAGCGAGTTCTGTTCATGATTTCTAGTATTTAAATATTATATTAAGCAATAATAATGGGAGTTGAATTTATAGGAGCCAAAACTAATGCTAGAAAATGAAAAGAATTAGACTCCTACTTTTTAAAACAGCATTTAGAAAGCTGTCCAATTTCCATGAACATTCCAAAAGCAGCATCTTTCATGGATATTAAATGAATGGTAAGGTTGTAAATTCTACATCATTTACAAATCCAAAATTATTCAAACTCTTATTTTTGCCTCCATACAAATTTGGTCAGAATAAAATCTGTTGGTCCCTTTATGGAGTTGCAAAGATGGTGTTAACACAGCCGCCTTCATGTTTCTGTGATCTGCAGTATGTAGTAGTAGAGTGGAGCCATTTCTGAAACCAGATCACCTGGACGTAAATTTTGATCTACCATTTACTAGCTTTGTAACTTGGGCAAGCTAACCTCTCAGTACCTTGCTTAACTTCATCACTGGCAAAATGGAATAATAAGAGTACTCATCTCAAAAGGTTTAAAATGAGTTCTTAAGAGAGTCCAAAATAAGTGCTCAGTTTTTATGAGTTATTATAATTATCAAGATAGCAGTTTTATGGTCAATATATGAGAATGAAAATACTAGGTATTTACATAGAATTCACATTTTGTATAGCTGCAGCTTTCACAATGGAATGATAGGACAGGCTCCACCTCACCTCCTAACTCATATTCCCAGTCATGATGTTGTTTCTCACAGTCCTTTGAATAAAACACAATTCCCTACATAGTCTAAGGGAGATCTGCAGGATGGTTGGTATCAATCAAAGTTGTGATCAGAACAGAGGCCACAGGAGACATGGCTTGAAAACTCCATCCTTTTTCCAGTGTTCTGCCCCCAACCCATGCTGGAGACTGGGGATGACATCCTTTCAACGGTACTTTTATCACTCAGATCTCTTATCCAAATTGTCACGGGGGTGTGTCTTTACCCTTCTTTGGAAAGGTCACCTATGTCCTGCCTGCTGTCATCAGTATATGACATCAGTGATTCTAGAAAGTACTTCCCATTCTGCATGGCAGAATCACTTAGGAAAGTTTAGTATATATATTTAATAATATATTTATTGTCCAGGCATTGTGGCTCACGCCTGTAATCCTAGCATTTTGGGAGGCCCAGGTGGGCAGATCACTTGAGGTCAGGAGTTTGAGACCAGCCTGGCCAACAAGGTGAAACCCTGTCTCTATTAAAAATACAAATTTTTTTTTTATTTGTAATCCAAGCTACTCAAGGAGCTGAAGCACAAGAATCACTTGAACCCAGGAAGTTGCAGTGAGTGGAGATTGCACCACTCCACTCCAGCCTGGGCAACACAGCAAGGTCCTGTTTCAAAAAAAAAAATTGTATGTGTGTGTGTGTGTGTGTGTGTGTGTGTGTGTGTATACATATATATGTACTCAATTTATTTATATATATGCACACACATTCAATTTATATATATGTGTGTATGCATTTACTATATATATATTGTGTGTGTGTGTGTGTGTATACTCAATTTCTCTCTAGGCCTACTGAATTGGAATCTTCAGGTCGGGGGCCCAGTAATTTGTATTTATAAAAAATTCCCTAGGAGCTGGGCATGGTGGCTCATGCTTGTAATTCCAGCACTTTGGGATGCTGAGGCAGGTGGATCACCTGAGGTCAGGAGTTTGAGACCAGCCTGGCCAACATGGTGAAATCCCGTTTCTACTAAAAGTATAAAAATTAGCTGGGCATGGTGGTGGGCACCTGTAATCTCACCTACTCTGGAGGCTGAGATGGGACAATCACTTGAACCTGGGAGGTGGAGGTTGCAGTGAGCCAAGATAGCACCATTGCACTCCATCATGGGCAACAAGAGCAAAACTCTGTCTCAAAAAAAAAGAAAAAAGAAATTCCCTAGGAACCCACTGGTACGAAGTCTGATTTCAGAGCTACTGTTCAAAGGCAGTGGTTCTTAACATCTTGGGTCATTGCACTTTCGACCTAAAGAGTCGTTTATGAAAGATCCACTGTCATAAATTAGGGTGGATTTGAGGTTATCCCCTCTAATCCCTCTCCGTCACTTGCATTCTCTAATGCTTTCTTGCATAGAGAGAAGAGGCAGTTCTACTGCTGTGCATAAACTGTCATCCTGTTTAGTCTCTGCAGCACGCTGGGGAGTGAGTGTCACTGATGGTCCATTAATAAAAGTGATTGGGATATTGCTTTGCTTACCAGAAAAAATCAGGGATGGGGGCTATTTTTAACAGTTCATCATGACCATGTACTGCTTACATGATCATGCTGTACATATCCGGTGGGGTACAGCACGAGCCTGCGCAGGCCAATGGCATGTTCTCCTATGAACCAGAATGACTGTCTCACCTGAATGACTGAATGCTCGCTGGCATAAGTCCTCCCTCACCCTACAATTGACCTCTCCGTAATGCCCCTGTGCCTTTTCCTGTCTGCCTGCTCAAGTGGGATGGCCTCAGCCTCGGACTCACAGGAGGTCACAGAGGAAATAAGACATGAAACAACACATAACAGTAGAGTCCTTTGATATCATCCTCCCTCTGTTTTCCACCCACCCCCATGAACCTACCCCTTTAGTATCAATGATCCCAGAAGCAGTTGGCAGGTTATAAAATTAAAATAGAAGTGCCACAAAGAAAACAGAGCCTATGACCAAAAACCAAGCTCTCTGGAAGGAGCATATTAGCTCATTCATCAAATGTGGGGAAAATACAGGGCTGGGCAAAGCCCACATGCCATTACTTGCACTGACAAAACAAAATCCAACATGCAGCCAAAGCTTTCTGTGTCACTTCTGTGTTTCATTAAACAAAACCTGCCAGGAATGTAACAAGCACTGTTTTTTGTTCGCAGACCAACTGAATTCTAAGAGCTGCTCGGCTGTATGGCAACATTTAGGTCTTTCTGCCCGCACTGGCCACATTTCTATTTCCCTCTCCACATATTCCTAATCTGTGGCACATGCTTATTTGCTGTATTGTCTGTAAAAATGCGTAAGCTCTTGCAGAACAGAATGCAATTAATCTGATATAGAAACACAAACACTTTATAAACTGTAAAAATGGAAAAAATACATGGAGGAGTGATGTATATTTTGATGACTACCAAAACTGGTGATACTTATGTGTTTTGTGCCACATGATAGCAAAACTTTCTAAGCTGCCTGTGCACATATTCAAAATTACGATTTTCAGACCGCTTTTTCACTTAATTTATCACAAACTTCCCTTGGGGTACTTTTACTGTGGGACTGCTACTATCACCTTTAAAAAGCAACATCCAGAATTGCACCTATTACTAAAATACCTATACAGTATTGTGTGTGTGTGTGTGTGTGTGTGTGTGTGTGAGAGAGAGAGAGAGAGAGAGAGAGAAAATGCATTTTATTGGCTCCTAGGGAGTGGGAGGCAGGATCAGAGTGGGCACGCGCAGTGCTGGGGGCCTGTGTGGGGAGCAAAGCACTGGGCCTGCCCAGGCCCTGGTTTCCCTGAGGACCGTCATGAACTGGGGCTCCACTGGATGGATGCCTGGGACCGCAGAGCGGATGGAACATGGGCCCAGGTCACTGGGTGATGCCCGCAGCTCCTAGCAAGGTTGGCGGGTGGTGACCAGGGCGCTCAGCCAGCTGACGGTTTGCAGGCACCTGCTCCTGCCTTCCAGCTTCACTTCCTGGGCTGCTCCTAGTTGTCAGTGAACCAAGCACAGGTCTCCTTCACCGCCTGCTTGAAGGGTGTGAACCGGAAGCCGGGCAGGTATGTCCTCAGCTTGCTGTTACTGGCTGTCTTCTTAAACTGCCCGTCTGACTTGGTTGTATCAAAGGTGGCCTCCCCATGGAAGTCCATAGCCTCCACCACCGCCTCGGCTGCCTCCCTGATGGAGACCTCATCTTCCTCGCCCACTGAGAGGATAACGGGCTCCACCTCGCTGTACTCCCACAGGACCCAGATACAGAGCTAGGCCAGGTCCAGCGAGTATATAAACTGCCTCCGTGGCTTCCCCGTACCCCACACCATCAGGGCTGAGCCGCTGCTCTTGGCCAGGCGCACCTTGTGGATGAGGCCAGGTAGCACGTGGCCATCCTCAATGTTGAAGTTGTCATGGGGCCTGAAGACGTTGGTGGGGATGAGAGCGGTGAACGTGCAGCCATGCTGCTGGAAGTAGGCCCTGTTCTGCACGTCGATCATCCTCTTGGCATGCGAGTACCCAAAATTGCTGCTGTGGGGCTGCCCACTGTGGCTCATGGTCTCAGCTGTGGGGTAGGTAGTCTTGACAGGAAAAATACAAATGGACAGGCAGGACAAGACCTTGCAGGCGCCCACTTCGAAGGCCGCGTGCAGGACGTTGTCATTGATGTGCACATTTTTCCTCCAGAAGTCCAAATTGTATTTGATATTCCAAAACAGGTCCCCCACCATTGCAGCAAGATGGATGACGTGCGTGGGTCGAACGTTCTCAAACAGGGGGCGGGTCAGTGCTGTATCCCTGAGATGGGCGTCCTTGGAGGAGACAAACGCCCAGTCCTATCCAGGAAGGCCAGCTCCATCTGCTACCACCTTCTGGATGGCTTTGCCCACCAGCCCAGAGCCCCATGTCACTAGAATCCGCATGGACCCCTGGGGTTCACCCACGTCAGCTGCACGTGCATCCCACCTCACCGCCCTCTATACGGTATTTAAACAACAAATAAGCCCGGTAGTAGGAGAGAGAAGAAAATTAAACAGCTATTCTAGAATTTCTCTTCTTCCCTGGGTCACCAGCCTCTGTTGGGAAAAAGGAGCCAATATTCATAAAAATCTGAGCTACTAAGGTTATGCAAAATCAACATGTATGGGGAGTAATAGCAAGGATGTATCCTCTGTGTTTATCATATAATTTATTATCCTCCTGCAACAAATGTGCAGATGACACTCATTTGTTCCTGACATAATGTGGTAGGTGGTTAAGTTCTTCAGAACTTAAAGTAAGCAACTTAAAGTAAGTTGCTTTTTAGCATTACTACCGATTCATGAAGTAGCAACAGCAAATTATCTTTTCCCACATGAAGGCCCCAGTCTCTCATTACTTTGTAATCTTACAGAAGGAAGTACTAAAACAATGTAAAAGTTTGAATGATTACATAATCCTTCGATTTGTTGCCTGGAAAAAGAGTCCTGTTGGCTATAAAATAGGTTTACTTTTTTCTCCACGTACTGACCCTTTGGGGTGACAGTGTAGTGTTAGAACGGAATCCACAAGTGATATTAAAAAGTCCCTTCCCCTAATGTGACAGATCTAGTCCAGATAAAGCCATTATTCAAAATTTCACACTGCTATCCTGTTTTGATTTGCAATTTGAAGAACAACTTTGCCTTTGGCTTCTGGGTAGCCACATTAAGTTAATCACTCCAGCAACAAGAAAGAATAATAAAGCAGAAAACAAAGAAGAGGGACTCCACTTGAATTCAGCATAGGGCCCCTGGCTATCCCAGAGGAAATCTATGTTGCCACGCCCTCTCTTCTTCTTAAAGGGGAATCCTTTGCTAAAGGGGAATCCTTTGCTATAGGGAATGGGATTAAAAAAAAAAAAAAAAAAGGCTTACAATTTTATGAAGAGAGAGATGATGTCCTAAGGAAGTGTAAAATTGAGATATAAAAACGGCTTCTTAGAAAAGTCTTCCTGTCACAGGATGACTTGAAGAGGGCCAGGTGATGTAAGCATCTGGGTTGTGTTACAGAAGAGGAAACTGGCTGGGCGCAGTGGTTTATGACTGTAATCCCAGCACTTTGGGAAGGTGAGGCAGGGAGGATCACTTGAGCCCAGGAGTTTGAGACCAGCCTGAGCAATGTAGTGAGACTTTGTTTCTATAAATAAATAATTTTTAAAAAGAGGAAAAAAAAGTTTTTCTCTGAGAAAGTATTTGCAAACTATGTAGCCAACAAAGGACTAGTATCCAGAATCTACAAGGAACCCAAAACAATTACCAAAAGAAATCACAAATAATCCCACTAAAAAGTGGGCAAAGGGGCCAGGCACCATGGCTCGTGCCTGTAATCCCAGCACTTTGGGAGGCCGAGGCGGGCAGATCACTTGAGATCAGGACTTTGAGATCACCCTGGCCAACATGGTGAAACCCATCTCTACCAAAAATACAAAATATTAGCTGGGTGTGGTGGCGCGGCACCTGTAATCCCAGCTACTCTGGAGGCCGAGGCAGGAGAGTAGCTTGAACCCAGGAGATGGAGGTTGCGGTGAGCTGAGATCATGAAATCACACCACTGCACTCCAGCCTGGGAGACAGAGCAAGACTCCATCTCAAAAAAAAAAAAAAGTTGGTGGTGGCAAAGGTGACCAGGTGTGGGGACCGCCTGTAATTGCAGCACTTTGGGAAGCTGAGACAGGCAGATGACTTTCAGCCCAGTAGTTTGGTAACAGCCTGGCCAACATGGTGAAACCCTATCTCTATTTAATAATTTAAAATAAATTTACAAAAATAATTGAAATTTTTTTAAGTGAGCAAAGGATATGAATAGACATTTCTCAGAAGAAGACATATGAATGCCCAAGACACATATGAAAAAATGTTCAACATCACTAATCATTAGGAAAATGCAGATTAAAACCACAGTGAGATACCATACCACCTTACTCCTGCAAGAATCGCCATGATTTAAAAAGTTAAAAAACAGTAGATGTTGGCGTGGATGTGGAGAAAAGGGAATGCTTATATACTGCTGGTAGGAATGTAAATTACTACAACCTTGATGGAAAAACAGTATGGAGATTCTTTAAAGAACTAAAAGTACATCTTTAAAGAGCTAAAAAGTGGATCTACCAGTTGACGCAGCAATCCCACTGCTGGGTATCCAAAGGAAAAAGTCATTCATATGAAAAAGACACTTGCACATGTATGTTTATACCAGCACAATTTGCAATTGCGAAGATGTGGAACCGATCTAAGCGCCCATTGACTAAAGAGCCGATAAAGAAAATGTGCTATATATACACCATGGGATACTATTCAGCCATTAAAAGGAATGAAATAATGTCCTTTGCAGCAACTTGGATGGAGCTGGAGGCCATTACTCTAAGTGAAGTAACACAGGAGTGGAAAACTGAAAACCTTATGTGCTCACTTATAAGTGGGAACTAAACTATGAATGTACAAAGGGATACAGAGTGATATAATGAGCTTTAGAGGCTCAGAAGGTGGAGGATGGTGGGGGGTAGGGATTAAAAATTACACATTAGATACAATGTACACTACTCAGGTGACTGGTGCACTAAAATTTCAGAATTCACTACTATATAATTCATCCGTGTAACAAAAAACCAAGTGTACCCAAAAAGCTATTGAAATTTTAAAAAGGGAAAAAAATATCAATCTAATAAAAAAGTAAGCAAAGTCTCCCTCTGGTCACTTGAATAGTGTGGCATGTTAGAAGAAGAGGGGAAACAAACATCGTTTCCAGACAAAAAGTGTGTCTGTTTCCATTTGTGTGTTTAAAACATTGTTATCTTCCAGGGTGTTCAATAAATCAATACATTTGCTTAAATGGTTATAATAGAATTCACTGAAAAAAGAAATGGCTAGTAGTTTTAATAATGATTATTTTCAGTGTGCATCATTTGAATGATAATTTTATAAAAGTTACGAGATGAAGAAAATGACAGCTTGCTTTTAAATTTTTTTTCTGCCTTTTATCCAGAAACATAAAATCCATGAATAACTTGTGAAGTTATTTCACATGCTTTGTACTTATATCTATTCAGTAACAATTCTAGTGTTCCCCAAATAAACCTATTCTATATGCAAAATAGTTTCATCAATTTTTCTATTTGTTTTTCTTTGGCCACACCCTAAAGCATAATTCATTGGCTAGCTTTTTATACACGAGTATACATAATTTACAGAACTCTTTCTCTGCTTTTTTTTTTTTTTTGAGACAGAGTCTCACTCTGTTGCCCAGGATATCACAGAGGCAAGTCGAAGCTGCACATGTGCTCGGACACAGGGAGTGGTCAGAGAAAAGACAGAAGAAAGACATTCCTTGGTCCTGGAGACATCTATCAAGTGTCAGAACATGCTCCAGAGGCATCCCAGACCACTGAGAATGTCTCTAAGGACCTCTACAGAGAAGTATATCCAGGGACCTATTCTGTCACTGTGGGCTCAAATGACTTAACCAAGAAGACTCATGTGGTAGCAGTTGATTCTGGACAAACTGTGGACCTGGTCTTCCCTGTGATGTTGACCATCACCTTTTTTTAAGCAGTAAGAATAAAGTCACTATATGATTCTCTTAATAGCTGTACACTAATCCTGTTTTTAGTGCTGACTGGGTCAGCCTTCCTGGGAACTGGAATCTGTCTCTTTCAGTGTGCCTTTCTTGAGGGTGTAGAAGCCCTCCATCTTTGTTGGCCTGACAGTAATATAATCATGCTGTCTAAACAGATTTTACTGCTTGCTTTCCAAGTAAAGGTTAATTATGATAATAAAGAGATTTGGAAATGAAAAAAAAAATTGTGCAGTGGTGCAATCTCGGCTCATTGTATGCAACCTCTGCCTCCCAGGTTCAAACAATTCTCCTGACTTAAACTCCTAAATTGCTGGGATTACAGACGTGCGCAACCATGCCCAGCTAATTTTTGTATTTTTATTAGAGACAGGGTTTCACCATGTTGGCCAGTCTGGTCTCGAACTCCTGACTTCAAGCGATCTGCCCGCCTAGCCTCCCAAAGGGTTGGGATTACAGGTGCGAGCCACCGCACCCAGCCCTAGAATTGTTAAGGAAAGGAAAGATCTCATTTTTTTTTTTTTTTTTTGAGACGGAGTTTCACTCTTGTTACCCAGGCTGGAGTGCAATGGCGCAATCTCAGCTCACTGCAACCTCTGCCTCCTGGGTTCAGGCAATTCTCCTGCCTCAACCTCCTGAGTAGCTGGGATTACAGGCACGCGCCACCATGCCCAGCTAATGTTTTGTATTTTTAGTAGAGACGGGGTTTCACCATGTTGACCAGGATGGTCTCGATCTCTTGACCTTGTGATCGACCCGCCTCGGCCTCCCACAGTGCTGGGATTATAGGCTTGAGCCACCGCGCCCGGCTCATTTTCTATATCTAAGGGATTCACACTAAAGGATTTACTGGGCTGGAGCAGATCATACGACAACAGAACAGCCAGCAAGGGTGATTCTGAAGTGGCTCTCTTAAATATCCAGAACAAAGAACTCAAGACTAGATGTTTATGCTTTTATGTGGTATAAGGAAAACTGCTAAGAGGGAATTCTTATCAGGAAAGTGAACCCCTTCTACCATCTTGGGAAGTGATTTGTAAGACTGTCAAAACATGCTGTATTTGACGCACCACATGACTACATGTAATGTGTACTTACAACTGCTAAGAATTAGAAAATGTTGTTACCTATAGTTGTCTTTATCAAGTTGATTATCATGGTGTACAGTATTACAGAAATATAGAGGTGCCAACTCAGGTGAGCAGTATGCCTTTCTCTGTTCTCCAACATTGCTTACACATTTATTTAGGTGATTTCACAAGATTTAATAACCAACGTAGAAAATTCCATTGCAGTTAAAAATAACTCGAGACAATTTGATGAAGCTTAAATCTGCTAATAGTGATGTACATTCCACAAAATAATTTCAGCGAACTACCATTTAATGTTCATTGCAATCAGGTGAACATTAAATGGGTACCAATACTACAATGTTCATTTTATATGAGTAAACTGAGCCTTGTAAAGACTAAGTAGATCAGGTGCAGTGACTCACACCTGTAATCCCAGTGCTTTCGGAGGCTGAGGGAGGAGGATCACTTGAGCCCAGCAAGTTGAAGCTACAATGAGCCATGATAGCACCACTGCTATAATGATAGCACCACTGCTATCTCTCTGTTGAGAGACCTTGTCTCAAAAACAAAACAAAACAAAACAAAAAGACCAAGTAATTCCAGCTCACAGCTCACACAGGTAGCAAGAATTGAGATGTGAACACAGTTATCAAGCAATGGTTAAAAGCCCCACTTTGATGTCAGACATAACGTGGCTTTAACTGTTGGCTTT